ATATTGGCAATGCCAGTGGTTTCCAATAGGATTATATGGTAAATGACATCCTCTGCTATCTTGCACAAATGCATGGTAAGGTACCTTAATTTTTTGTGAGGAAACTTCTTAAAGTAGCAATATTTCAGTGACAAATACTTGGAAAAAATTATATATTATTGAGGAACGTATCGTCTGACCTTAAGGACAATCTTGGATGAAAAAGTAGAAGCCCGCAAATAATTGCGGATAAAAACATTTCATGTTCTATGAGTAACAACAGTGTAAAAAAATATTACCGATTTCAACAGTGCAAACTTCGTAAGTGTGACAAAATTATTAAATACTGTAAATCCCTTTTTATTCGCGAGAACTTTATTTTCGTGTGATTGCGCGAGACACTGTACTCGCGAAAATTTCATTCTCGCGTATATTAGTATTTCGATGTTTCGTCCGTCCGTTTGTCCGTCCGTCTGTATTTCTGTCTATAAGTAACACTTTCGTTCCCGCACGATATCTCGAGAACCCTTTGAGCTTTCGCAATTAAATTTTGCATAGCAACTCCCTATGGCCTAAAGAAGAACCCTATTTATTTTTAGGTCAAAAGGTTAAAGGTCATAAATTCATAAATTCTGTCTGTGTTAACGCTTTCGTTTCCACGCGATATCTCGCGAATTCTTTGAGCTTTTGCAGTGAAATTTTACGTAACAACTCCCTCTGGCCTAAGGAAGACCCCTATTGATTTGGAGGTCAAAAGGTCAAAATTCAAGGTCTTTAATTCATAAATTCCGTCTGTGTGTAACACTTTCGTTTCCGGGCGATATCTTAAGAAGCTTTTGAGCTTTTGCAATGAAATTTTATACCATAACTCCCTATGGCCTCTCTTGCCCCTCTCAAAGTGTCCCGTCCCGTTTTTTAAATTTATTTATTGTATTAAAAGTCGCTTGGCACTATTTTTCGCACAGGGGCATGTCCAGAGTTATAACGTATAATACAGGTTGTCGGCGGACTTTATATTCTAATTACATCTATTAGAACTGTTTCGTAACGGCTAAATTAGACAACATTTATTGTGTAAAATTTTGACAATATCAAACGTGAATATGAACATTATATGTGACTTAATGTTTGCATTTAATTGGTTGTATACTCAAGTACCTCCGTGGTCTAGTGGTATGTTGCTCGCTTAGCAAGCGAGAGGCCCGGGTTTAATCCCCGGACGAGTCTCTTTTTTTATTTTTATTTTTTTTTTGGAGGGGGGGGGGATTCACTAAATGATAATATTCAACATGTGAAATGAAAAAGTTATGATGTCTGGCGTGAACAAACTCATAAAATCATTATTACAGTGTGAGAAATATTCTGTATATTAAAAAAAAATCTTCTGTACACATATTAAAGAATAAGCAATCAAATCTTTATATTCATATTGGCTTTTTTTTTAAAATTTGCTTCAATATACATGTATGCATTTAATAATTCTACAAATACAGGGGGCCGTGTGACCACCCCCCCCCCCCCCATGCGCATGCTCTTCTTTTTTTCCCTAAGCGGGGGACACAAAATCTCTGAATTAGCTTGTTTTTCATGTTTGTTTAATTCCAAAAGTAATGCACGATTCGCTGGGTTAGACGTGTGTTACGTCATTCCAAGATTTTTTAAACTGTGATGTATTTTATTCTTTATGTAATATAGTGATAATGTGAAATCTGTTATTTAGATAATCATAGTAAGCGTTTGTTACTAGATATTTAGGAGATATGTATTTTTATTTTTAGATTCGGGGGTATATAGTTTTTGCCTTGTCCGTCCGTCTGTCTGTCTGTTTGTCCGCAAAAACTTTAACATTACTCATAACTTTTGATTGGTTGGAGCTATGGCTTTCATATTTCACATGTGTATTCCTTGTGACAAGACCTTTCTTTGGGTACCATCATATATGATCTTTTGACCTTGACCTTGAAGTTTGACCCAGTTTTACAAAATTTTTCCCAAAATTTGACCCAGTTTTACAAAATTTTTCCCAACTTTAACCCTGGCCATAACTTTTGAACGGTTGTGACAAGACCTTCCTTTGGATACCAACAACTTTGACCCTTTGACTTTGATGTTTGACTTACTTTTGAACAACTTTAACCTTGGCCATAACTTTTGAACAGTTGGTGCTAGGGCTTTCAATCTTCACATATGTAAATAAATCCTTGTGACAAGCCCTTCCTTTAGATACCAACAATTATAGCCCATTGACCTTGACCTTGGAGTTTGACCTACTTTTGGAAAACTTTAACCTTGGCCATTTCTTTTGAACAGTTGGTTCTAGGGCTTTCATTCTTCACATATACAATCCTTGTGACAAGACCTTACTTACAATACCAACAACTTTGAACCTTTGACCGGGACTTTGGAGTTTGACCTACTTTTGAAAAACTTTAACCTTGGCCATATCTTTTAGTACAAATATCATTTCTGCTTGAACTTTTAGTAGGGCGTGACGATCTCGGTGATACATAATTAGCGTCTCTCAAATGGTGACCTAGATTCTCATTGGTTAAGAAATTCAGAACATTAGCAACTTAACAAGCAATGAGATGACATAAGCCACACCTCTTTACTGCAAGAAACGATGTAATTGGTTCCTTGCGTCACTCGTTGACGTCTGAACTATTTTTATTCCATGTGTATTTCACCCTTGAATGAAAAGCTGTGTAAATTTCAGTATTGATGAGCTAATCTGGCAACCAATGAGAATCTAGGTCTCTATTTGATAGACGCTAATTATGTATAGCCGAAAATATCAGGCCTTACTGAAAGTTCAAGCAGAAATGAAACGGTTGGTGCTAGGGCTTTCATATTTCACATGTGTATTTCTTGTAAGAAGGCCTTTCCTTGGGCACCATTAATTTTGACCTTGACCTTGATGTTTGACTTACTTTTGAAAAACTTTAACCTTTTCATATCTTTTCAATGGTTGCTGCTAGGGCTTTCGTAATTCACAGGTATATTCCTCTGTACAAGATCTTACTTTTGGTACCAACATATTTGATTTGCATTTGAGAATTAAAATTTAACCTTCGCTATAAGTTGCATACGGGGGGCATCAGTGTTTCACAAACACATATTGTTATTTTTTTTTTTAATGACAGTTGTTTAGCCTTGTTAATTAATTGCATACAGCGTAAGATTTATAATCTTTTTACATTGGTTTGTGAATGTCGTTGTTAAAGGTTATTATACCTTTAGAAAGGTCTGAATATCGGTTAGCAGATTGTTTAGGATATTCAATTAAACTATAAAATGCTTTCTTTTATTATTCCCGTGGCAGCAGTTGCAAAGAAAAAAAAATACTTAACCCGCGTAATTTTTTCTGCAATAGCTGCAGTTAATGCCCGTACTAACAAGCAAAGAAAGCATTTGATAATCGTATGAAATAAGATTAAGTACGAGTATATAATGTTAAATTGTATTGTTGAAATATACATCATTGTATGATTCATTGTTGGAACAGCCACTGCTCAAGAAATCTATACAAGTGGCTTGCTTACTAATTAACAACCATAAAAATGTGATAGACAATCATAATTGACTGTTAATATTATATTAAGCTTTAAAATGAATCATTTATTTGACAAAATTAAAATTTCTTGTTTTTCAGCAAAGGCAGAAAACTCTTTAAAAAATGTTTAACGTGCAAATAAATAACCGGCTTCTTATACACTATCAGTTTCGTGACTTCAAATGATTTATTTTACTTTCATCGTTTTCTAGTAGTACATATTTAACTAGATTAAGTTGATTTAAAATTGTTCAATATCCCTTAATTATACAATATTTACATACACTAAATATTATCTCCGAAAACCAGTCACGTAACTGATAACGTGATAAAATAATAATAACGTAATATAATATTATCAGTCAATTATAATTTCTATCACATTTTAAAACTCAAACTATTATATTATTTTTACAACATAGTAAGTTGTGTTATTTCCTTTATTGTACATGTAGTCAATCTTTTACTACCCCTAATAAATGATGGAAATAAATTAGTCGTTTTTGATTTACTCAAGAAAGACAAGTAGTTTCAACATATTGATGAAAGCTATTAAACTGCATCAGTATTTTTTACCATGAGCTTTCCTTTGACTTCAGTTTTCTCAAATTTGTGTTTAGCTCAGTTTTAAGAAACAAATTAAGATATCTTTATCAACTTCATTTGCTGATCTATTGAACTGCGTCAATTTTCGTTTTACCTTTACCTTTGACCTCATTGTTCTTTAAATTTGCATTTAGCTCCATTTCAAGGAAACTATTGAAGATATTCTTTTGTAAGCTTATGCACCGATACATGACTTAGTGAGAATTTTACCTTTACCTTCCAATGACCTTTAACTCTACTTTTATTGGGTGTAAAACTCAGTTTGAAAGAAACTATTCCAGATATTTTTATCAAACTTCATACACTGTACATTAATACAAATTTTTATGTTAATTACTAATGAACCCTGGGTGAAGCATTCATGTCCTATGGACATACTTCTAGTGTATCTAGTTTTAGATGATACTTTTTTCATCATTTATAAGGTATGTCAAATAGATCTGCTACAATGTATCTTGCTACACAAACGAGATAAGTCAGCGGCTCAAACATCTCATTAGATTGATCAAATGGGGAAGTACCTTGGTGTACTTTACATTTAGGAGACGACTTTCTTTCAAAATTACTTTCAATGCTGTTCATTAGCATGCCTTGCAATCAAAACATTTTCGTTGATTGAGAAAACCAATAATTTGAGGAGGAAACCAATAATTTGACTTTGCCTGACTGATCAGTCATTTCAAATCGATTCCCTCTAGAAAAGAATATCACATACTTCCTTATCAAATGCTAGCTAAAATCATGTAGAGTAGCATACAACAGGTGATCTCACGGAATCAGTAAGCTCTATGGAAAACCTTTTCTATTTCTGACATTCCAATTCAAAATTCAACCATATATGGAAAATCAAACTCAACACCAGTTCAAATTAACACATTGTATTTGTAATTTATGAAAATACATACATACATATAACATTACCACACAGAGCTCAACAGCAAATGTATATCTAATTTGTTTTTAGAGTTCTCCAACTCCATATTTTTAGTTCTTTTTCTGCAATATGCACATGGATCACTACGCAACACAAATGAGATAGATATCCATCACTATAGGAATGGCTGACAACTCTTCCTTTTTCCAAGAGTCATAAGAATATGTGGATAGTAGGCTTACCTGGAAATATCAAAATGGTTCAATATACGTGTATATCAATGTTTACTTCAAAATGAATATAATGCTACACCTTGGTCTGGCATCTGAAATGAAATTATTAAAACTCGCTCAGTGGGACACCGCCACCTTTTTGGAATATCAATTTGAAAACACTATATGTATTACTTTATCAGCATCAATGGTACACTAGATTTTCTTACACAAAGAAAGCAAAAACACAATAACACACAGCCTGGAATTATTAAAATGACATCTAGAGGTGCCCCCTCTCCCTCCCCATAAAAGATGAGTTTGGTACCTGCCACTCTTCCTTGTTTGGTCCTCTCAATACTTTACAATGTACATCAACACTTATCATAGCAAACAGAAAAGAGAATGTCTTACTAAAATTCCAACATACTAGATAAATTACTTTAATATTCAAATTTTATCTGCTTCATTATACTGATCCTGAAACCAATACTATGGGCTTCTCTGCTCCTTCTATGATGTTCTTCAGTGTAATATATAAAAATACTAAGATTTCTTTTCATGGTTTCCAATTTCCCCCTTGAATACGACAAAGTTATATATCACACTGTGTTACTCAATCTTATTATAACCTTGAAATGCTAACTCCTCTTCTAACAGCTGGAATTGCCTATCTACAAAATAAAAACAATATTTCATTACAATGCACAAAAGTATAACCCTCATCACAATTAAATACTTACTTCAGCATTCCAAGGAATTTCTAACCCACTGGTCATACCTTTTCTTTGCTAACTTGTTCAAACTTTAATTTAAAGGACCATTTTCCCAAAATTTACTATCTGTACTTTCAATAAAATCCAATTCATTTTCCCACTGCAATAATATTTGTTACATGTACTAGCAACTTTTGATGCTTATGTTCCTTTTAATTCTTCCATGAGCATCTAGTTACTTCCATTTCCATCATATAGGTACATATTGCTGGATTCTTTGTTGTAAAGAGATTGCTTTAAAAAACCTGAATTCTTCACAGTCAAGTACATTTTTTATTTCTAAAATTATTTGAACAACTATTTTTGGTTGTCATACATGATTTTTTGTATGTTACGTGAGCAGTTGAATTTTCCTCCACAGGTGGTTCAACTTGTGAATAAATGGTTCAACTTGTTCCCAGCTTTCAACTGACTGGTCTGACTCATTGAGATGTGTCTCAAACTCTCTCCAATACAGGATGCAAAGAAAAAAGCAATTTGTTTAGAAAATGTCAAGATTTTAATGCTAGAAAAAAAAAAACTTTCTCAGTTAATACATATTTTCTTGCATATGAATAATTCATGTCGTGTGTCATGCGAGTCCGTCATAGGTAAAAAGGGCAAAAGTCAATGTTCAGGGAGCTTATACATGTAGGAATTAAATATTAAATGCAAAAAGTCAAGAAACATTTATTACCACAAAACCCCTGTGAGAAACTCAGCAGCCTTTCCTAACTGTCTTGTTAAGGCCTACATGAAGAGAAACAGTGACATCAGAAATTTATTTCATTTCAAACTACAAAGGTTTACATAACAAACACATTACATGATAATTACATGTATATAAGGTAAATAATATGTTACAAAATGAACTTAATAAAATATATCTCTAATCTGTCAAATAGAATACATAATTCTTACTATTAATTGGCTAATTTCATTATCTTATGATGAGCATGGAAATTGGGAGGAAAATGCTGTGAAGTCTTATGGTCAAAAATCTTTTTTTTTCAGGTTATACTTATTGCAATTCAGCGGGAAAATATCTACATCTTGATTTGCACTTATCTTTGAAATTTAGAGATGAAGCTATCAGGAGCAAACTTTATCTGTAGTGTATTTTACCATTCTGTCTGGAACAAAAAAATGTCCCAAAACTTTCATAAAACTTGCATCACAGACAAACATTGTACATTGTACAATGTATGTTATATTTATTTAAATTCCACTATTTTAAACCAAAAGTTATCTTTTAGAAAAACATTTCATGGGATTAAAGATCTGAAGACATATATTAAGGGTAACTAGTTATAATTGTAACGGGGACCGTTACAGATGTTCCCCAAACGCTCCCCAACAACCTTTTGGTGTGTTATTTCCTGTAAGCTTCATTAAATAAGGCAATGAAGTATATTGGTCGTTTTTTGCATTTCACGCGCGCATGTACATGCATGTGCAGGATGACCATGTCATCTCATCTATACTATTAATGCATCTTTATATTCTCAGTATCAAAACATTTCATCAAAAAATATATAAGTTCCGGCTATATCAAGTATATTGGTCATCTTAGCATTGCACGCATGCGCACCTGCATGCATGTTCATAATGACCATGCCATTTTGTCTACACTTATAATATCTCTGTTTATTCTTAGTATGAAAGCTTTTCATAAAAAATATATATAAGTTATGGCTATGTTAAGTATATTGGTCATTTAACACATTGCACGCGCGCGCATGTGCATTCATGAGCATGATGTCCACATCATCTTGTCTACACTTTTAATATATCTGTATATTTTTAATAAAAAAATATAAAAATTACGGCTACATTAAGTATATTGGTCATTTAACACATTGCACGCGCGTGCACGTGCATGCATATGCATGCATGTGCATGATGACCATGTCATTTTGTCTACACTTTTAATATATATAAATATTTTGAGTATCAAAGCATTTCATCAAAAAGTATAAAAGTTACGAGTATATCAAGTATATTTGTTATTTTACGCTTTTCGCGTGCGCACACGTGCATGCATGTGCATGTTGACCATGTCATCTTGTTTACACTTTTAATATATCCTTATATTCTGAGTATCAAAGCATTTCATCAAAAAATATAAAAGTTACAGCTATATCAAGTATATTGGTCATTTTACGCATTGCACGCGCACGCACGTGCATGCACGTGCGCGCAAAATGACCTTGATTCCGCAAATTTACATAACATGCCTATTAACCCTAAAAAGGTTTCACCTCAATCGGATGAGTAGTTGACGAGATCACTCGCGGACAAAAAAGTACCCAGGAAGAAGAAGAAGAAGAAGAAAAATAATAATAATAATAAGAAACAGAGTAAAAACAATATGTTCCCCAACTTCGTTTGGGGAACATAATAATCTTAACTCCTATTTTTTTCTTTTATTATCATGATTTTTTCCTTAAAAATAATAAGATTTTTTACAAGCAGAAAATATTAATTTTCTTTTCAAGATGTGAATTAAAATTGGAACGTCTCTTACCTATTTCAAACTTGAAACCTTAAAATCAATGTTGTATAGCATGTATAAACAAAAATATTGTACTTTCACTTTCACTTTGGTTACCTTTAAAATATACCAAGCTAGTGTTCCCTGCCACAGAGCAATAGAGCCTCTAGCCTAGTGGCTCATACTGAAATGTAAAACATATCATATACATTCTAACATTTTCAAGTCAATCAGTATTTACAAGAATAAGATAGTTTCAGTCGTGTTCCTTTTCATGACTTCACCATAAAAATATTCTGATACTGTCAAAATGATCACGCATATAATTAACAATGGAATCTGTAAATTTCAAGCACTACAAAATAAGTTTCTTTTTTCTCAAGGTTCTCCACTCTTTCTTTCTTCAGCTTACAGTAACACAGCATCATTGTGTATTCTCCTTCTCAATGTGCACACAACTTTTCAGTACCACTACAACCTATCCCCCCGCCCTGACATACAGTAAATTATCACAGTCTCTCCTGTATAAAAGGGTGTGTCAGAGCCTGGTTGATGGAGATCCGTTTACTCGGGTCTAACATGAGGGTTGACTCCAACAGGTCCTTCAGCTGTTTGACTTTCTTCATCTGATCCTCGGGGAGGCGCTGATATCCGATCAGCTCTGCGAGGAGATCCTTACTGGCACTGATGGTACTGAGGACCGACACCTTCTCCTACAAAACAAATGTTCTCTGATCTTACCTGTCCTTGCCATACCAGATGTCACCATAGTCCACAAAAACTGATTTTGTTACAGACTTGTATATGCATCCTTTTTAATGCAACTTATTTCAATCTTAAGGTAGTGTGATCACTGACCTTACAAAATGATACCCCCCGCTCCCATACAAGTATGTTTTTGCTATGGGAAAACCCCAAATATCTGTCCGACTGAAACATAACTAGGAAGTGCACAATGGCACTACATTTTATCCAGAAATATAGGACGAGTTGCAGATAAGCAATGGGTAGCCCCAATATTATAACAAGAGGCCCAGGGGCCTCATCGCTCACCTGAGCACTGTGGCTAGGAAAAAAAGCAAAAATCAGTTTAGTATTGAAAAGCTAAAATGCATAAGTGGTCCCGATCTACCCCTAAAAGGGAGAAGGGGGTACGATTTGAACAAAATTCAATGTACACTAACTAAGGATGCTTACATATTTTTTTGACTAACTGTGACTTTCTTCCCTACAAGTTTGACCTTTCATTGTGGTCCCACCCTACCACTGGGGGTCATGATCTGAACAAACTTGAATCTACACTATCTGAAGATACTTTTTCCTATATACTCCTATGTTAAACTTTGATCGTCCATTGTGGCCCCACCCTACCCCCGAGGGTCATGATTTGAACAAACTTGAATCTTCACCACCTGAGGATGCTTTCACATAAATATGACCAATCATTGCTTTGCTGTTCTTGAGAAGAAGATTTTTAAAGATTTTCCCTATATATTCCTACATGTATGTTAAACTTTGATTGACTATTGTGGCCCCATCCTACCCCCAAGGGTCATGATTTGAACAAATTTGAATCTACATCACCTGCAGATGCTTCCATATAAATATGACCAATCATTGCTTTGCTGTTCTTGAGAAGATTTTTCCTATATACTCCTATGTTAAATTTTGATCGTCCATAGTGGCCCTACCCTACCCCGAGGGGCATGATTTGAACAAACTTGAATCTACACCACCTGAGGATGCTTCCATATAAATATGACCAATCATTGCTTTGCTGTTCTTGAGAAGAAGATTTTTGAAAATTTTTCCTATATACTCCTATGTTAAACTTTGATCGTCCATTGTGGCCCCGCCCTACCCCCGGGGGTCATGATTTGAACAAACTTAAATCTTCACCACCTGCGGATACTTTCACATAAATATAACCAATCATTGCTTTGTTGTTCTTGAGACAAAGATTTTTAAAGATTTTTCCTATATATTCCTATGTAAAACTTTGATCATCCATTGTGGCCCCACCATACCCCTGGGGGTCATGATTTAAACTTGAATCTACACTACCTGAGGATGTTTCCACATAAGTTTCATCTTTCCTGGCCCTGTGGTTCTTGAGAAGAAGATTTTAAAAAGATGCTATTAATCTTCCACTAATTTTTAATTATCTCCCTTGGAAGAGGGCATAGCCCTTCATTTGAACAAACTTGAATCCCCTTCACCTAGGGATGCTCTGTGCCAAGTTTGGTTGAAATTGGCCCAGTAGTTCTGGAGAAGATGAAATTGTGAAAAGTTTACGACAACGCCAACGACTACTACAAGAACAGACAACGGACAAATTTCGATCAGAAAAGCTCACTTGAGCCTTCTGCTCAGGTGAGCTAAAAAGAATGGCATTATTTATGTTTTGCTAATAAAGAGAAACCCCAAATATGTGTTGATAAAATATAAATTAGGAGATGCACAATGCCACCATGTAATAAAGATTTGGTGAAAGTTTCATTAACAAGGCCGAGTCTAATTCGAGTGCACATGACTTTGCGCAGCTTTTTAATTTCATGCAGTCATATGTGCGACATTACACCTTTCCCAAATATTGTGATTTTAATACAAAATTAACATTATCTGTAACCCCTATGGGTTTGAAAATGTGCTTTTACGACAATAATTAGAAAAAAAACACTGAAATGGCTCTAATAACGTCACTGTTTTCCGATTTTGTAAGCAATGCATGATGCTGAAGAATGACACATGACTCGCTTGTATGTTCAAGACATCCATGGATATTATACTAAAAACTGTTGACAGAACATCAAAAGTAACATACTAGCAATCTAAACACTGCTATTTTTTACTAAAATAATTCATCTGCGCCGATAATTCATCTGTACCGAAATATATTTATACCGCAATATGGCAATTTTAGAGTATTGGGCATTGAAAAAATAAACTTTGTAATAATTCCTAGACCAACCTAGATAGTCAACTTTCTTGAAATTTCACAATTTGATGATTTTTTTTTACAATAACTTCCATGTACTTGGCTGAAAAAGAAATCTCTAGGGCAGAAATACAAAAAATATGGGGAAAAAAATGTGATAATCTGGCACTTTTCCAACAAATTCCCATAGGGTCCTATAGTAAAATTTGACAACTTTTGAGATGGCTCCCTAAGAAATCGGGACGGTAAACATTCGATTTTTTAATATTAAAACAATAAATATAATAGTAAAAATTAATTCAAGAAAATTTACCAAAATCTCTAGGGTAGAAATAATTAGACTCAGCCTCGTTAAGTTGCAATGGTGTAAGAGGAATTGCAGATAACGGATGGTGTTAAGGACAGAAGGACATAAGGACAACACCCCTATCACCTTATACATCTCCCCAACTTTTCAAGATAGCAAATGCCATTACCATTTTCTTCCAAATCAATATTAAGTCACATTCTCCTGTCAATGTGGACAGTCACATTCTCCTGTCAATGTGGACAGCTATTACTTAAAGAAGAAAGATGAGAAAATCTTTGTGAGAAGATAACTTACCCTGTGTGTGACCTTATCCACCTCGTGGTACAGGAAGTTGTAGTTGCTGTCAAAATGTTGATCCCTAAACATACCCTTTCTGATGATTTTATTGGGGAACTTGCCCTTCAGGTCCATCATAAACTTGAGCATTTCATTGTTAGACTGTCCTGGAAACAAGATCTTGCCAGTGTACAGCTCAAATATAGTTGTTCCCACAGACCATAAGTCCACACTATGGTCATACCCCATACCAATAACTGTAAACCAAAAAAAATAGTACATACAATTTAAAAGAATAGAGAAAATAATTGATGTCCATGTAGAATCTTTCAACTATGTTTTCTTTCAAAAATGAGATGGACAGCATTAAAAAATGTGGAATTTTTAAAGTCACAGAGCATTTATTTGCACAGTGCTAGGTTCATGTTATGTATGTAACACAAAGTTAAACACTGGAATGAAAATCTGAATATGATGTTTGATCACATAAATGTACATGTATTTCTAGATAGGAATTTATATATTATGTAATATATATATAAACTTACTGATTTCGGGAGCTCTGTAGAATCGACTGACGAGGTAAGGTGTGATGTCGTTTTCTGACACATGGGATGCTGAGCCAAAGTCACACAACTTAAGCTGTAATTTACTCTCATTTACCTGCAGGTGAAAATGCATTAAAATAACAGGTTCTAAATATTACCAAAACACATTACTAATCATTCAATACATTTAATGTTATATATTTCTTTAAGCCTTCAAGGAACTTTGAAGATTTGCAAAAATCAATGACTACATTACAGTAAGAAATCCAAAACATTGGAATCACAATCATGGAATCATACACATATAACCAGCTTCCTAATATCTTTACGTTTGAATTGGATTTTGTTAACATTTTTTTTTATTACTTGACACATTGCTCTTTAATTAAATAAATGCACAAAACATGAATATGCCCTATACCAGTTGCAAAAAAAAAAAGGGAAAAAAAGAATTGAACTCTTAACATATAATACGGGTGCAATTATGAATTTTAAAACAAGTATTTTAAGAAATACCGACGAAACTTAATTTTTTCTATGAAGAGTACATTTAAAATAAAGCATGCCTATGTATAAAAGATTTTTAATTTAGTTAAGATCTTTAATTTATAGCACAATAGAATAACATAAGATCTTTAATTTATAGCACAATAGAATAACATATGATCTTTAATTTATAGCACAATAGAATATGTCCATAGATATCAACATACACAGACATGAATAATGACTGATACAGACCAGAATATTATCAGGCTTGATATCAGCATGAAGGATACTGTTCCTCTTCAGATGTTTCAGGGCCAGAAACAGCTGTTGACAGTACGATCTGACGGCCTTGACATGGAGACCTATGTCCTTCCCATACTTCTTCAATACTTCCCTCAAATTCATGCTAAAAAAAAATTGTGCATCTATAAACTTTCTGCTATTAAAAAAAAAAAACAAAAATTTTAACATTTAACATACTTGTTCATATTTATACCTGATGAAATTAGGCAAAGATGTCATTTCAATTACCATAAGGAGTTAAAAATTACAATGCAGTAACTGCACCATATTCTCGAAACATTATGATAACAGCACAGTGCATTAACTTAAAAATTAACTATATCTTACCTAAGCGATTCAAACACCAAACAAAGATGATTTTTATGGAAGAAATGTCGATATAGGCGGAGGCAGTGAAATTTATCATCAGGGTCAGCATCATTGAGCTTTCTAAGGAATTCCAGTTCCTTCAAACCAGTTTTGTGCCTTTTAACACAATGAGATATAAGCAACTTAAAATCATTTCGAGTTAGAAAATATTAAAAGAACTTGCAATTCTAATGAATAATCTTAAATATCAATTCAGCTTCACAGGAATCTGTTATTTTTCACTCAAAGCTATTTCATTCTTAATTAAAATTATGTGATTATAACATTTCCAGCCACTTCATCCCCCCCCCCCCCCCACCCAAACTTTATTTGTAAAAAAAATCATTGTCCTCTGTTGCCAATTTAATACTTATACATGTATATAGTATTAATCTTTACTACAATTTTCCCATCATGAAAATTGGTGAGAAACGAAGAGATGTTGGTTTACAATATATATGGGATTCAATTCATACTGGAGTTTTTAAAACTTACATGATTTCATTGTTCCTGATGATTTTGATGGCAGTCTCCATGTTTCCTCGAGCTTCGTCCCTGGCACGGACCACATTGCTGAACACACCTTGTCCAGTGTACCCATAAACTGAGTACCTTTTGTCCAACATCTCACCAATTCTCACCCCTACAATCAAGTATTTAATTAAACTGGTCAACATTTGATCATATGAAGTGAAGACTTAAACATGTCAGCATTTGATCATATGAAGGTTTTCATGCTTTCTGTATGATATGTGAATATAACTGTTGCATTTATTATTTTGTCTTTCCTTTAAACAAACTTTAAGTACATTATGATTTATGACTTACTGTAGTAACCCTCTGCATCATCCCAGTTGTCAATCAAAGTGGGATTCTCAACCACAGGACCAGTGAATTTCGCCACTGTACTTGGACTTCCCAACTAGAAATGATAAACAAAAATTAGCATTTTAACTTCAAAAGAACTCTTTGACATCATCAACAATATTAACATGTCAAAATATCTTATCCATATTCAATAACACCCAATCCACTGAGGCTTCATCATTCTTAGATGGCATTAAGTTGATACTGATGTGTAATGTTTCACATATACTTACAGCGTAAGCATCACTGAACATGTCTTGAGTATCTGCAAACATGTCAGTCTTCGACTTTTTCTTTTCACCATCTTTTAAAGGTGGCTCCACTGAAAAAGAAAAAATAAAGATATTTACTTCAGGTTAACTTTGTGGAAACTTTGATGATAGTTTTAGCAACATCTGCAAATGTAGACTTACTCTCTAGTTTGGTGTCTTTGCTTCCTTGATCTGCCTTAGCAGATTTCTCCTCTGGTTTTACTTTGTCATATTTCCTTTCACTGTTTTTGTCAGGACTTGCAGATTTCCTTTTGGATCTTTCTGATTCAGGACTACTTGATCCCTTTCTACCTCTGTAAGAATAAGGACTCCTGGATTTTTGACTTCCCTGGAAAGAATCTGGACTCCTCATCTTTCTCCTATTTCTGCGAGAGTCTTGACTTCTGGACCCTTTCTTATATTTATAGGCCTCTTCCTCAGAATCTGAACTGGAGCTTGAACTGCTGTCAGAACTGGAACTTCTGGAAGAAGAGCGATACCTTGATCTGGAGCGTGACTCTGATCGTGACCTTGACTTTGACCTGGAGAATGACCTTGACCTGGATGGAGATGGGGAGGGTGACTGGGGGCCAGAAGGTAATGGTTCAGGTGAAGGTGGCTTAGGTGAAGGTGCAGATGTCATGCTGTCTTCTCCTTCATTCTTCAAACGCTAAAAAAGGAAGGTTAAAATTTGCTTGACATTATGCAAAAAAATGGTATACTTTATGTGAAAGTCAGACAGTGTCTCAGTCAATTTAAGGTACCGTATTTGGCTGAATATAATACGCACTTTTTCCCCAAAATAATTTTCTGTGAGAAAGGGGTGCGTATTTTACACCCCAATGGGATTTTGATAGGTTTTTCTTTCATGTGAAACATGGCTATCATACGCACATACCGTAGTATTACCTAGAGACTTATGCAATTTCTTGCTGTTTATCGCCGTATTTAAAACTTCGGAAAGTTATTGTTGGAATGTAGGCTTGTTAAAAATGTTATATTTATAACCTTTTGATAGTTAAATTAAATTTAAAAGCAAGTTAAAATTAATTTGAGCTGCATGTTCATCGTCTCTGTGTAGGCCGCCATTAACGATGTTATTTATAGATGTTCATACATTCCTTTGCCACGTGCTTCCGTAATCATAGTACACATGTACCTAATCTGTCAGACACCGGTCAAAAAAAGTAATAAGTCATTTTTTAATGAAATACAATAAAATAACATTTATTTTAGGTTTTAAATAACTCGGTGAAAATTCATTTCAACGTAAACACCCCTCTATACGTCCCAATGAATGGAACCCAATGCTGTGAATACGTGCGCTTGTCACTTGATAATTACCCCTCAACACCCCTCCAGGCAATTAAATTGTTTACCAACTCCAAAGCATTGTTTTTACAGTTAGAGCACTGATTATTTACTGCCCTTATTAATGGCTTTGATTATTTTCTTTGCTAAAAATCGGGGGTTGGTTTATGATCTTTTGTATGTGATTACGACACATTAAACAGTTTACACGCTTGTTAAATGTAATTTTACTTTATCTTATATCGGCCTCGTGTTAAAATGATTGAGAGTTAAAAAAGGAAATATGAAGTAGGTTGAAACTTAAGTGTTATCATTTACCCCTGCTCTGTAGAAAATAAGATATCCACGAAGATTACCTCGATGTATGAAGACATATATCCCACCTTCGTACATCATTTTTCACAGCTTTGGAGGTGTGTTGATAACTTTACACGCTTGTTCAATTTTGATTTTATTTTTATAACATCAGCTATTTATTTAATTAATTAATTTCAAGTTCAGAAGAGGAAAATCGTAGTCTATGAATACTTTGATGTTGCAATCTCGCTTGCCCTGTTAAATTTATGTAATTTTCAACATGATTACCTTAAACTAAAAATAAATAATACAAATGTTAAACTCGCAACAATATCGCGTGCTTTGTTGAAATAAAATTATTTCTACAAAGAATAGTATACGGCGACGTATAATTTCAATATCACCGTATGTTAAAAAAAATTAATAATAAACTCTGTTAATACTTTAATGCGACATTATCTCGTGCTTTGTTAAAAATAAATAATTTCTCCAGATTGCCACGATATGGAAAGTCAAGATTAAGAAATAAAAACGCATTTGAATAAAATATCGTGTTCTGTAAATTTTCGGCACTTTATCTCCGCGCCGATTTTCATAGCAAATTACCGCGATTTTCAAAAGTTCAGAACACCGCTTGGTAAAATTTTTTGCTGCGTATAATACAACCGAACTGCGTTTTTTTCCCAGTTTCAGGCTCAAAAAGGGGGGTGCGTATTTTACACCAATGCGTATTATATTCGGCCAAATACGGTAGTTTAAAAGAACAGACCTGTAAAAGGGCTTCTCTTTGCTTTCTTCTCTTTTCTATCAAAGTATCTTCATCATCATCATCATCATCTGGTATGTCAATATTAACCCTGAAAAGAGAAATCATAAATAAAAGGAACTAGTAACAAGAGGTCCACAGGTCACCATTCTCACTTGAGCTACGTTGGCTCTGTTGGCCTTCAGAATATTTTTCCTGTTTATTACAAGGTAAAACTTTGATCCCCAATTTTAACCTTACATTTACTCTGAGGGCAATGAACTGCCCAAACCTGCATCTTCACTTCATTTGGGATTCTAGACTACGGCCCTGATGTTCTTGAGGGAAAAAGGTAGAGATACTATATAGTATATCAATACAACTTCCTGTTACTCTGTTATTTTACAGAAAAAGATTTTTAAATTTTTTTCACACCTACTGCCATAAACAACTTTGACCTGCCACTATGATCTCACCCTACACAATCTAGGGGGCCAAACTAGAATTTTCACATACTGGATATGCTGGTATATTAATATTACTAACTGTAGCCCTTTTATTCTAAAATTAAAGACAATTTAAAGATTTTACACATATATATTTATACAAATATTCCACCCCTTTTGTGGCCTCATCCTAGTGTCCTGGTACCCATGATCTGAACAATTTTTTTAAAAAAAGACTTACTCCTCATCTGAGTCCTGGTGTAGAGCCATACCCTCAGACAAGCTGCCTTTGAATTTATCCTCCTCCCTCCTTCTGCGTTCTCTGGATCTACTTCTCCTGCTTCTTCTTCTGTCCCTTGATCTACTTCTGTCATGTCGCCTATAAAAAAGTTTCTATTAGCCAGTACAAAAGAGAAAAGAATTAATTTGTACTTTATCAAAAAAAAATCCTGAAACTTGATTGCAATAAGGCATTGATTATCAGAAACTGTGTTTCTAAAATAAAACCTACCCTCTTTCAGTTGACCTACGTCTTGGAGATCTTCTGTCTCTATCCCTTCTGTCATCTCTTAATCTTCTGTCATCATCATCTCGTCTTCCTCTTTCCTCATCCTCTCGTCTTCTCCTCTCTTCCTCAATACGCCGTTCTTCCCTAAACTTCTCTCTAGAACTCATTCCCTCTTTTACTCTGTCTGCATCTCTGGACCTCTCAGAGCTGAAATTGTATAAGATGTGAAAATGCCATAATTTTTTTTACATATCTATAAATATTCAGTTTATTGACATCATCATGTTGGCATACAGTCAAAATAAGAAATCAAATGACAGATAACAGAAAAAAAATATAAAAATATAAGAAAGTTTTAACAAATAAAGTAAATTTACCTTCTCTGAACTGGAGATCGACTTCTTCTCTCTCTGCCAATATCCCTGCTTCTCTCCCTACTGAGGGAGGCTCTTCTATCTCTTGATCTTTGCTCCCTCTCTCTGGAAATGTGTTCCCTGTCCCTAGCTCTGTGCTCTGTATACTCTCTCTCTCTAGAACGATTATCTCTCATCTCCCTTTCTCTAGACCTTCGTTGTCTTTCACTGCTCCGTTCTTTCCTTCTTCGTTCATCCCTTCTGACTGCATCTTCAGACTCAGATGTTCTTCTTCTGTCTTTTTCTCTACGATCAGAATCCCTCCTACTCTTCTCTGACTTTCTGTTTTCTTTAGACAGACTGCTATGAGGTCTTAAAGGGGGCATTTTACGAGTTGCCTCTGTCACAGACACAATCTCACAGTCCGAGTCCCCGCTCTCTTCTTGGACCTTTTGCTTCTCTCTTTTTTCTGCTTCTTCTTCAGCTCTCTTTTTTTCCTTGATGATATTTTGTAAAATATTCCATTCTTGTTTTTTCTTTTTCTCTTTTTGTGTTTCTTCATAATCAACCTCTCCTTCTTCCTCTGAATCAGACCCTGCATATCCCTGTGCTATCAAATCCATAGGATTTGAATTGATTATGTTCCCATTGCTTTCTGACTGTAGAACCTCTTTTAAAGCTTCTCTTGCAGCTTCTAGCTTCTCTAAATCAACAGAGTCATCAATTTTCATTTTTTTAGATGTACGTCCTTCTTTTTCACTTCGACTTGATTTGCTCTTCTTCTTTTTGTGCTTATGCTTTTTCTTTTCATCTCTCTTTTCACTCTTGGAATGTTTATGTTTGTTTTTGCTTTTGTGTTTGTGTTTATGTTTTTTCTTCTCCTTTGTAATTTGAAAGTCTGATTCTACCTCTTCTTCTATTTCGATATCCTCCTCCACTTCTGGAACATTAGCATCACTCTCAGAGGTCTCATCCTCACTACAATGGATCAATAGATATGGCTATCAAAAATGATATTATGTCTTTTGAAGGAGGACATTCAATTTATAAAGAACAAGGTACGATTTCAATACAAATCTTGCCCTATGTTTTTCTTAAAAATGAAAGTGATGTAAAAAATTAAAACCCATGCTTCCTGAATCATTGGAATTCCACGCTGAAAGAGCATACAAATCATTTTTCTCACATGACCTTCTAAGTGCTAATTGTGACGTCATAAACTTGTGCAATTTCCCTTATTTTCTTTAAAAGTTGCAGAAGACATCAATTTTCAATGGAATTTTCCTTCAGATAATATTGTCCACAGGCATCGCCCACAAAGATTTGGAAATATGTGATTTTTCAAAGAATTTTACGCAACATATCCGAAAATTTAAGTGGGCGACGGCTGTGGACACTATTTTCTTAAGGAAAATAATCCCTTAATACAGTCATTTTGAGGGTTTTTTCTGTTTAAAACTAAGAAATGTAACAAATTAATGATGCCATATTTCCAGAACGGTCCTCCTTCATGCCATATTCTTTCATGATTTATCACGGTCATTTAATCAACTCTTATTGAAGCCAATTTCAACACTTTTTGGAAAACATTATTTTTTAAACGCATAATAAAGCTAAAACTGTACCTACTTCTTTGCTTGATTTAAAATACATGTAACAGTTATCAGAAATCATCTAATCCGGAATGTTTTGCCATATCATATAATAAAATAACCCTTGAAATGAGTCATTTTGAGGCTTTTTCTGTTTAAAATAGAAAAATGCATCAAATTAAAGATGTCATATTTCCAAAATGGTACTTCTTCTTGGCCTTTTCTTTCCTGATTTATCACAGTCATATACTCAACTAATATTTAAGCCAGTTTCAAAACTTTTTGAAAACATTAAATTTTCAGGGCACAATAAAGCTAAAATCATACCTTCTTCTTTATAGCTCAGATTAGTTGTTTCTTCTTAACCATTAACAATGTCATCATAACAAGTCAACATTAAAAGTCAAATATAAGATTGAAGCAAAATATCAGATTGTCTTGATTGTGCATGTTTGTTCAAATACTCAAATTTTCAATTTTTCATAATTTTCTTGCATTTAAATTAATAATTAAAGTAGAAATATATTTATTGCATAAACTTTCAAATTTTCAAATTGATTCATATAATTATGTGTCTTAGTATTGTATACTTGTGTACCAAGTCTTACTAAAATTGGACCAAAACTGTAGGAGGAGTATGGTTTTGAAAGAATTTCACAGAAATTTTTATTTTTTTTAACAACCATGGCAACACTGTTTGATGAAATTAAAACTGATACACTGAATTACATATCCTATTAAAGTGTACTTGCAGGCCTTTCAAAATCAAAATGACGGTGCCTGAATTTTACCTGGCTGAAATCGTGATTGTAGCAGCAAAAATATCTGATGCAGAAAAATTTTATAACCTATTTAAAATTGCTATCACAAGGTACCTCCCAATTTTGTAAAAGTACCACCTGTTTCCAGCCTGTACTTGTGTACCAAGTCTTACTGAAATTTGACCAAAACTGTCGAAGGAGCAGCATTTTGAAAAATTGTTTACAGATGGGACAGACAGACAGACAGACAGATGAAGGATGGACACACTGCTATCGCATAAGCTCTTCTGGTCTCTGACCAGTAGAGCTAAAAATGAGGTTTGGGGCCTTTTTGTTCCCAAAATTGAAATATTATCATGATTATATATTAAAAAATTTAGTTTAAAACTTCATTTTTTTAAAAAAGTTTTAAACTCGTTTTCTGAGAACATTCAGTAAATAGTTGTTTATTCCATGAAAAATTGACAAAAATAATTGTCAACGAAGTGTAGGGCTGCCACGAATCAGAAAATTTTCGAATCGATTTGGTTCAAACAAAAACCTCAATTTTCAAATAATTTCGATTCGATTATAAGAAATAGAACCTTTTTTATTTTTGTATAAATTTTGTAATGTTTGATAATTCAAAATAAATAATGAAACACCTGAACACACTTTCATTACATTGATTAAGATAATATGGAATGTAAAGCCAAAAAAAAAAAAAAAAAAGAAAGGAAATACCTAATGTTCTAATTACAAAGTATGAACCAAGAATCAAATGTCTGAAATTCAAATTATTAAAATACTGGTTATTAGTTTTAAAAGAGAAAACATGCATACAAATCTTTCAAACAAAACTTCCATGATTGCATATGCTAAACATAAAAGTATTGGTGCTTTGCTTACAAAAGCTATTTTATATAGAAATTACTGTTTGGATCCCTGATTTTTGATTCACCAATACGATATCAAACTGCCGAAACACATTGCTGTAGTAACAATACAGTCAATAATTAATTTCACATTCAAAACGTTGTCAATATTAAAAAGAAATACAAAATTTCGCAGCACAGTGTCAGGTCCTCTAAATTCAGAATTGTGTGGCTGATAAGTGTGGCCTAAATGCACTAATCTTCTGTGCCATCTTTCTGTAGAAAATGGAAGTAGTACCCTAGTTAGAATAATCTAACTGTCTCTCGGGATAACTGGGTCGGTATGACATTTACCATTTTAACGATAGAACATTCTATCTAGTTGTCCCTGACTTCTTCGAGGGCACTTTCGTGTTTTTGTTTACATTAAATGATTTGCCATCATTTCTTCTGATTAACCAATCAGAATGCACCTAACAACAGCAGATGTTAGTTTGAAAAAATCAAACCTGAATCGAATCGAAATCCGGGAAAAGCTTACCAAATCAAACCAAAAGATTTTGATTCGCGGTTAACCGATAATTTGGTTAATCATGGCAGCCCTAACAAAGTGTGTATGATGCATTCTTAGTGCTGTTTCTTTCAAACTAAGTCAGTTTCTAAGTCAATATAAGCATACAAATGTGATGTTGGTAAAACAAATAGATCTTGCAAAAATACATAAATCTCTACATGCTTTAGTGTCTATAATTGAATGGTTCATTCAGCTGAATTCATTTATTTATTTCAAAGAGTCAGACTGTATCTCTAATAATAGTATACTAAGCTCAATCTCTCAGATAGTAGTTAAGGATAACCCAGATCTCCCAGGCAAGTACGAGACAAACCCTAATCAGTCAGATAGTGTGCAAGGACTACGTAACCCCAATCTTTCGGATGCATGCAAGACTAACCCTAATCAGTCTAATACTTGTGCCAGGACTAACCTCAGTCTCTTAGGTGGGTGCAAAACTAACCCTTATCAGTCAAATCAGACAAGTGACATAATTCTTACGACACAGTGCAATGAGCATGCAGATCTTGCGAATCTAAAGACCAAAGTAGTCTACCCAACCAAAATTGATGAATTCTTACGTAAGTTGATTTTCCCAATTTCTCCCAAAACGTTTATTTTCCAAATATAATGGTCATGGCTCCTGTACCCAAAAGTAATGAGACAGCCCTGTATCATTTCCTTCCATTATTGGGGAAATAGATGGAATGGATAAAATAAAATGACCTTGCTTTTAAAGCATTGTGTCCAACTGACCAACCCATTAAAAACAAGCATATAACATCCACAACTGGGACAACAGAATTTTTCAGTCAACTTATTAATTACAAAGGTTCACATAAAAACATAATAGATATATCTGATGAAAGCTATACATGTAGTATATGAACAGCTGATAAATTGAAGTGGGTCTTTTTATTTATTTTTTTAATTCATTGTAAGAGGGATTGGCCCACAATTTGGTCGTGTAACATACGTTACTATCAATACTTTATAAGCCGGAAATAAGCTGCTGGAAGTGAAATAAAAAGTGCTGAAGAACGAAATGTACTAAATTTTAGCTTTCTGTTTGCAAAATTATAAGCTATATAAATTCATTGGAATATTACACCACACCTGAACCATGAAATTTCACAAAGTTTAAAAATCAACAGAAATAGTCGTGTAAATAGATTGTCCTTAATATATAAAGTACAAAGTCAATACCTTAACTTCCCATTGTGATAGTCAGTCGCCATTTTATTTTTTCGTTTGCAAGTCGTGGTAGATAATGCTAATTACATCAAAAGAGAGATTTGTGCTAATTTGATAGTAGTTCTAAATTAGAATACTGTATTTATATACAAAGTACATAAAATACTGTACTTATATACAAATTACAAAGCTTTCATTTTAACAACAAATTTTATCGATAAATAAAATCTTGATATTTTTTATATTAATTAAATGTGGAGAATATTCTTATATTCAATAAATATAAATATACTTTAGTTTCTTTATGAAATTCTTAAAATATAATCTATATATTTATTTATTATTAGCAAACAGAATTCATAGTCAAATTCGATCTTTCTCTATTTCTTTCCTCTCTTTTCTCCTTTTGCATTCTTTTCTGTTTTTAGCCATGACAACTATGACGTCATAAAGGAAGTTGACTCCATAGTCTGACAGACCCAAATAAAAAGAAGTCACCTGTCGTTGTTTACATTTGTATAACAACAAAGTCTTGAAGAAGGAAGATGAAATTCAAGTTTAGAGAAGAGCACACTTTTGGTAATATGATATCTGTTTTATTTTTACGTTTATTTAGGGTATAAAACCTTTAAATCGTGAATTACTGGTCTGGTTTTGGTTTGTTTTGAGACACTTATCTTCTATAGGTCTTTGCCCTAAATGGCCTTATGTCATAAGTAATTGGCTAATATTCATCTGATCGCTACCACTGTGAATCATGCCTTTTTTGACAATATAATGTTTAAGTAAAAGATATTCATAATAAGATTATTATTAGCTAATTATTAATAAAACGTACACTATAGTTGTTATATTTACAAGTAATTTGTTCCCCAAAAGTATAGATTTATTATTTATTTTTAATTGTCTCTAAACTTTGTGTGTGTATTTGGACTCAAACCATTTTAAAAAATTTTATGATGCTGAAGTGCTGAAGCTGTGTATGCTAAGCTGTTGATAATTTATTGCTCGTATGCAGTGTTTCATAGTCACAATTTTTACCAAAGTCTTATTATGCTATCATACAAACAAAGGTCAGAGCTATCTGTGGCAATTAATCTTGAATAAAACTATATGTATCAGCGTGCATGTATAAAATTACATTTAGATGATAATTAGGCTTAGTACTCATTCAGTATAGGCAACAAGACATCAAACATAAATTAATTTATTATTTTTTTTTTTTTTACTTTGACTTTATATCAGATTGCATCAGAGAGAGAGTAGCTATTCAAGATTTTTATATTCATGCCCAATGATATTATTCCCTATGAAACTAATATATAAAATTTTATACAGAGGTTATAGAATGTATTAACCAGAGATGTAATTTATCATTTTTGAAATTTCTTTTAAAGTTTAAAAAGGCTATAAGTTGGAAGAGCTGTGAATATTACATGTGATAAAGAAAGTCAGTGAAATTCATCATGTTTATAAAGAAGAAAGAATTTTTGTTACAATATTTGTTTTTAAAAAGTGTGAAAGTAAAATTACATAAATTATAACCAGTTGAATAGCAGTGCATATTTAAGCAACAGCAATTATAGTTACATTATATACAATTATTCTCTATTGATTATTACATTGTATACAAAAAAATTGAGAAAACTACCCGTACTAACGTTTACTAGTGTACTGTAATAAATTTGCAGACTATAGTGATATCATTGACATTTGTTAACACAGCATTCATTTCAGTCAGCCTTATTTTTAAGCTTTAGGACGTAGAACATTATGTAACACTTCAACAATAGAATAATTAAAAAATTAAGGCAATTGTGTCTTCGTACAGGGAGTTTAATAAAACAGTTTTAGATTACAATAAGACACTGAATAGGAGCCTGATTTGGATTATATTAAGGCTATATAAACAAAGAGATATTCTCATGATGTAGACTAAGGATCCAAATGTTTGTGTTTATTTCATATTATGTAAGTATAATTCACTTCATGTTAACAACAGTGATGTGTACAGCATTTGATTGAATATTCAGGTGTCATGATCAAGATGATGTATATGTTGTACATGTATTAAATAATGTACATACATATATATCCTAGCTGTGTAACAAGTATAGCTGGTAATTACATGTACTTACAAGCTATCTATTCCATTTCTTCTTTTAATGTGGACAGACTTGCATGCCTTTTCAATCCTGAGGTTAGATATATTGCAAAATTGGAGACATTTTTAGCTCACCTGAGCTGAAAGCTCAAGTGAGCTTTTCTGATCACATTTTGTCCGGCGTCCGTCAGAGCTGTCCCTGTCTGTCTGTAAACTTTTCACATTTTCAACTTCTTCTCAAGAACCACTGGGCCAAATTCAACCAAACTTGCCACAAAGCAACCTTGGGTAAAGGGGATTCAAGTTTGTTCAAATGAAGGGCCACGCCCTCTTTCAAGGGGAGATAATTAGGAATTAGTGAAAAAATAATGGCATCATTTAAAAATCTTCTTCTCAAGAACCACTGGGCCAGGAAAGATGAAACTTATGTGGAAACATCCTCAGGTAGTGTAGATTCAAGTTTGTTCAAATCATGACCCCCGGGGGTAGGGTGGGGCCACAATGGGGGATCCAAGTTTTACATAGAAATATATAGGAAAATATCTTTAAAAATCTTCTTCTTAAGAACAGCAAAGCCATGATTGGTCATATTTTTATGGAAGCATCCTCAGGTAGTGTAGATTCAAGTTTGTTCAAATCATGACCCCCGGGGGTAGGGTGGGGCCACAATGGGGGATCCAAGTTTTACATAGAAATATATAGGAAAATGTCTTTAAAAATCTTCTTCTTAAGAACAGTAAAGCCAAGATTGGTCATATTTATATGGAAGCATCCTCAGGTAATGTAGATTCAAGTTTTTTCAAATCATGACCCCCGGGGTTAGGGTGGGGCCACAATGGGGGATCCAAGTTTTACATAGAAATATATAGGAAAATATCTTTAAAAATCTTCTTCTTAAGAACAGCAGAGGCATGATTGGTCATATTTATATGGAAGCATCCTCAGGTAGTGTAGATTCAAGTTTGTTCAAATCATGACCCCCGGGGGTAGGGTGGGGCCACAATGGGGGATCCAAGTTTTACATAGATATATATAGGAAAATATTCTTCTAAAAATCTTCTTCTTAAGAACAGCAGAGGCATGATTGGTCATATTTATATGGAAGCATCCTCAGGTAGTGTAGATTCAAGTTTGTTCAAATCATGACCCCCGGGGGTAGGGTGGGGCCACAACGGGGGATCCAAGTTTAACATAGAAATATATAGGAAAATATCTCTAAAAATCTTCTTCTTAAAAACAGTAAAGCCATGATTGGTCATATTTATATGGAAGCATCCTCAGTTAGTGAAGATTCAAATTTGCTTAAATCATAACCCCCGGGGGTAGGGTGGGGCCACAATTAAGGATCCAAGTTTTACATAGAAATATATAGGAAAATATCTCTAAAATCTTCTTAAAAACAGTAAAGCCATGATTGGTCATATTTATATGGAAGCATCCTCAGTTAGTGAAGATTCAAGTTTGTTCAAATAATAACCCCCGGGGTAGGGTGGGGCCACAATTGGGGATCAAAGTTTTACATACAAATATATAGGAAAATATCGTTAAAAATCTTCTTCTTAAGAACAGTAAAGCCATGATTGGTCATATTTATATGGAAGCATCCTCAGATAGTGAAGATTCAAGTTTGTTCAAATCATTACCCTGGGGATAGGTTGGGGCCACAATGGGTGATCAAAGTTTACAGAGGAATATATAGGAAAAAGTCTTTTTCTCAAGAACAGAAAAGCCATGATTAGTCAAATTGATATGGAGGCATCTTTGGGTAGTGTAGAATGAAATTTGTTCAAATGAGGGCCCCGGGGGTAGGGTGGGGCCACAATGGGGGATCAAATTTTTACAAATGAATATATGGGAAAAAAATCTGCTGCTCAAGAACAACAAAGCCATTTGTTATATTGATATGAAAGCATCATCAGGTAGTTTAAAATTCAACACCCCCCTCCCTGTAAACTTTTCAATACTGTACTGATTTTTGCTTTTTTTCCTAGCCAATGTGCTCAGGTGAGCGATGTGGCCCATGGGCCTCTTGTTTCTTTATGAAAACAAAAACCAGTGAGAACTTCTTTAGCACTCTGTATTAAGGATTTAAGTGGTATGATTGTAGTTTAGTGCAACCTGAAATTTATTTTCAAATTGGATGGGGTTGAGAAAGGACCCAAGAACAGGGTGTATTTGGTGTGAAATCTCTGTAGGAATCGGAAGTGTACAAATTATTCATAGTTTAATGTCCAGTCAAGCAGATGATTTGTCGGCTGACCACAACTGGACAGACTTTACAAAAGCTACACAGAAAAATGTTACATTACAATGAAATATGTTGTCAAAAAATTGTAATATTTAAGTCTGCTTTTCTTAACATAGGTACATTTCACATATTTAAATTGCATTCGCTCTTGGTGCAAGAGGATCAAAATATAAATTTATTCTAAATTTGTAATAAATCAGTAAATAAAATCAAACTGAGAAATGACTAGAGAGTTTGTTAAAAAAATAAATAAGTGCTCCAAATGAGGATCTGGATCGAACCAATAAAACATATAGATTCCTCACTGTCATGGAAGAACATATCACTGCTCTATCATTCCAACATAATGAGAATTTTAAAATGATAATGAAGCAGAGCATTTACACAATGTGATTTTTTTTGTGAAAAAAAATTAATTATGAACCCTGGGTCTTCTCTCCGTTTATTACAAATGTTTGCTCGCTTCTTCAAGTTTAGTAAATAACGTTTTAAAACAAAATGATCAAGAGATAGCAAATTTATAGAAAAACATGGCTGTTTGAAAATATTACATTTTTTACCAAATGAGTGAAATGACTCATCTAGCCATATTTCGTAACATATTTTAGCATGTCAAAACACAATATCGGGAAACTATTTCTCTTTCCTTTATCATAGGCATTAGGCAACCTGGTTGTCATCAATTGAATGCTAAAATATCACATGTCTGATCAATAAGATCTTCACTTTTCAAGTGTGCCCAAATTCCTGCTGAATCTAAATCAAATATGCCTTATTCTTTTTGGGACACAGAATAATAGTTAAATGTTAAGCTTACTGTATGTGTACTTGAAAAAGCAGACGTTAAATTTTAGCGGCTTTGGCGTGAACAACAATGAGCTAATTTATGAATACCGCTAAGAAATCATTTATATATATACAATACATGGCATGGATATTTTAAGTGCTAATTCATGATTACGCCAACAACTCAATACCCAGCGATTGGGCTAAATTTTGAATACGCCACTTTATGTACACATACAGTATTTGGTTAAGCCTCCTGGAGTTATAGCAATTCATCATTGTGGACTCTAGAAATCTAATTGTTGATGTATTAGTTTAAAAGAAAACTGTTTTTTTAATCATTTGTAATTCCAAAATATGAATGATTTTTGAACATAGAATTTTACAAATGAATAATATTCTTTTTTTTTTTTTTAGAGCAGAGACAGGCAGAATCAACAAAGATCAGAGACAAATACCCTGAAAGAATTCCTGTAATTATTTAAGACACATTGTATAATTTGCTTGTCAAACATAAATTTAAAGGAATTATTAGAAATGCAGTATGTGGTGTACCACATGGTTTTAGTACATAATTTAGAAAGAGCAATAAGCCAGACTTAATTCATATATAACAGAGATGAATATCTTTAACATGTTTAACAAGTATACATTTATTTAATAGTATAGGTCGATCAGTGTTATGTTAGTGTAGTACACAATATGTAGAATTTTATTTTAACAAGTACACATTTATTATTTTAATAGTATAGGTCAATGTTAATTTAGTTGTAGTACATGATAATGTAGAATGTACATTGTATACTTAGTTTATTGCATAATTAAAGTTTATTATAAAAGTGTAAATGAAATTTTATAAAAGTTTAAATTTCCAAAACTCTAGTATTGTTCTTTAATAAAATTTCAGAGATCTTTAAAACTTGAAATAACTGGTTTGCCTCTATGAAATAGGTCATCGTAGAGAAAGATCCGAAGTCACAGATTCAGGACATAGATAAACGGAAGTTTCTGGTTCCCAATGATATCTCTGTGGCTCAGTTTATGTGGATTATTAGAAAGAGGATTCAGCTCCCGTCAGAGAAAGCTATATTTCTGTTTGTAGGCAAGGTCTTACCCCAGTCCAGGTATGTATAGTAACAAACCAGGTAGTTATAAAACATACAACATCAAATGTTAAGATTCATAAAAAAATCATTAAAATTTATAAATTATAAGTTACTGTATATATTGAATTTTCATGCCTGCATGCTTTATTTTCTCAAATGTAATAGCATCCAAGAGATCATCACAAAATAGCCATGATAACTTTTTTCAACTGTCCATCCAACAAACCCTTTAAAGCAGCAAGAGGCTGATGCTACGTATTTTTCTCAAAAATATTTATGCTTGGATACAATATCTCTTAACCATTTTTGCTGTTAAAATGTGCTGTTAATGATAACTCTTAACTAAATCTGTTAAAGATTGCCTAAGTATTTGTGTCAGAATACATTAAAAATAGTGTCTATAGATTTAAAAATTGTTACGAATAAATGTATAATGATGTTAATTAATTTAGTAAAGACAAAAAAATCTTGACAAAAAAGACACATATTCTATATGAATGCATAAATAATCTATTAATATCATTAGAAACATTATTTTTCTAGATCTTTTTCTACATTAGAATTTGTTTTAAAAGTATGTGTAATTGATATTTTCTTTATTCCAGTGCAAGTATGGGTCAGGTGTATGAAGAACACAAGGACGAAGATGGCTTTCTTTATATTGCATACAGTGGAGAGAATACATTTGGAATGTGAACTCTTGATACATCAGCAAAATTTTCCATTATGACATTGTTTCCTATTTAATTTTTTTTTTCATTTCATGATTCATTTACATCATTTTACAAATATGATATAAAAATAAGCTAATTATTCCACAAATATTAATGGTAATGTCAGTCACTCATATTTAATTGGAATTTATTTTCTTCAGCAGACATTCTGGTTTTTCAATATTTTTTTTTTTTTTTTTTTTTTGAAATTCAAACTTGAATTATAATTAGATTTTAATTCCGAAAGTAACTGTTTTTTTTTTTTTTTTTTTGGTTTTTTTGGTTTTTTTTAAGGGAAATATTATTATAAATGTCTTCAATCTCAACATGATGAATTGAAAGTTCTTAGTAGTGTACGTGTCATTTGGTACTAGGTTGTACAATATTGTAAATATTCACATCCAGCTTTATTATACGAATCAATCAATACAACAAAACAGAATTTTTATTTTCGTATTAATACAATGTTTGACCATTTTATAGGGCATATCTGATTTAAAGTCTGTTTAAGTGAAAAACAGTAAATACTTTTTTTTTACTTAAATGGCCTCTTTTCCATGAAAATTTTTAAAATTGTCAATAAGAAATTTTTGAATAATTGTGATCATTGAAGAAAGTTTAAAAATCATGCTATAGATATAAAAAGGGGGGTTTTGATTTGAATCAAATTAAATTTTAATGTACTGGTACATATATGCTAATTAAAACCACAGACCTCTCTATTATTAATTTATATTTCCGATCTAGTTTACATTACTTATTATTTGTGTCTGTGATATCGTGTATGCGGTAACATTTATTATTTGAAATACAGATTGGGAAACATTCAAACTGTTGGTGTTAATATGCTATTTCCACATTTTGTGTTTTATGTTGATTATTTTCCTTCTGTCACTCTAAATGTTTGAAAATGCTTGATAAAATAAACCAGCTCACCATCTGCAACAAATTACATTGGTTTTTATCAGCTATTTGTTCTAGACAACATTGTTTTTTCAGTCTTGATTGAATTTATTAAGAAAGAAATTAAATTAACATGACCTTATAATGTATAACTTGAGATCAAATTCTTTTATCTCCCATTGTATTCAAAGAAAGATAATTATATTTGGCATGCATTTTGTGTTTTTATACATGATAATATGAATAAAAATATACAAAATAAAAATTTTGTTCAGTTTCTCTTAAATCAAATGCAGTTTTCTCCCTTTAATGCCATTCTTTTGTTTTCGTGTAAAACTGCATGTGTCTGGACATTAATTTTGTTAACTTGTACATTTAAGACATCAAATTGTATTCTGCTTTCCTGGGGGCTCATGAAAGAAAATATTGGATTTATCTGGTATATGAATATACAGTGGTCTAGATATTCGTACGACTTAATTACTCTGGCACAAAGTGTTGTGTCCAGAATTTCCTCGATATTAACTTTAAAACAGCTGTTGTCACTTGTGACTGTTGAAGTACATGTATAAAGACCATGTCGCCTTGTATAGACGGTTTGTTCCCTTTTTTGGAAGATCCATTGTTCCGTAAATTTTATTTTATTTAAGTAAATTTTATCGGAGGCAAAAAACGAAATAAAACGTAAAGTTGAAATCCTAGCCATGAATGATGAAACTTTTTTTTTTACTGATCGACTTGCTCAGTTGCAGATAAAAAATTCCAACTCCTGTGGTATAATATATACATCTTCAATAGTAGCAAGGACCTATATACTACACTTAGTATATAGGTCCCTGATAGTAATCACAAGTGAAATAATACTACATGTTATATATGTGTGAAATTCATGACTTTGGGGCGGGAGGGGGGGGGGGGGGAGGGGTTTAACAGTGGAAATTATTGGGGGACATCAATAGCAGTGCAATGTAAGTGATGGATACAGACTTCTTTTTTTAATGGTGTTCATGCTAAGATGTCTTGAGACTATGCTATCACAATCTTTGTTATTATCTCCTAGTTCTCATGATTCACTGCATGCAGTGATATTTAAGTTAATTGGATATCTTTATACAATTTCAAAAAAAAGAGGGAGTCTTTTCAGTTTGCATCAAAAATGTTTGTTAAAGGGCAAACCTACAGCAAGCACAATAATTTACATGTCAGAGTTCCGGAAACTGGTCGAAGTTCATGGAAACCAATATTACTGATTATGTTTTGGATTCTCCAAATTGGCAAAAACCCACAGTGGCAATTCTATTGGTCTTGCTTGTCTTAGGTAAAAGAAGGGAGACTGGTCAGGGGTCTCTGATGGTGGGATCTCTGGTTTTAGCCTTAATATAGCTTTTTTGCAGAAAGAAAATACCCTTAGGTGTTAATACATATAAATACATGTAAGAACACACAAATCCAATTTGAAAAAAATACAGTTATTAATTTTGTTTATTTAGTTATTCATTTTGGTTTTATTAATTAAAATATTAATTGATTGTACCAGTAACTAAAAAATAGAATTAGATATCATTTTAGTAAGATTTTCTATTTTAAAACAGTCTAAAACCAAAACCAAAAAAAAGCCAGACACTTTTTAGATTTACTGGACTCATTCAAACTTTAATGGGGATGCATGATGAACTCCATAATTTTTGGAACTCTATCTGCATTAAAACACAAATTATAACCGGTACAGAAATGATAGACAATCTATTTTGTATTGTCAGTTCAGGTATCAAAACTGCATGTAAAAAATTGCTTTAATTTACAGAATTTAGAGGATGTAACTGAGTTGAAAACACAAGGAAGATGGAATATGATGAAAAATTTGCAGACAAGATGGCTGATTTATGTTACAAGAAATATCAGTCATTGCCAAAGAAAGGGAAGCCTCAGAAAGGAAAAGAGTGGACATCGTTATCCTGTGTAGTTATAACAAGTAAGGAAAAAATAAACAACAAATCCATATACTTATAACAAGTAAGAAAAAAACTACCATCAATGATTGACCTATAAATCCTGTATAATAGTTATAACAAGTGAGAATAAAATTCCAGCAGTGGTTTGTTGTCCAAAAATTTATGATGAATTTTAATCTACAAGTTACCATCTCTAATTTGAAAGGATACTTGAAATATATACAGTACATGTACATAAATTGACGTATTCAAAATTTAGCACAATCACTAGGTATTGAGTGGTTGGTGTAATCATGAATTAGTGTTACACACATCCGCGCCATGTATTTTATTTATTTATGATTTATTAATGGTATTCATGAATTAGCGCAATGCTGGCCACGCCGAAGCTGCTAAAATATGAAGCCCGCTTATTTAAGTAACATACAGTATATATATATATTTTTTTTAACTTTCGACAAAAATCTTGATTTTAGCCCATTGCAGAGTTGTCTGAGAAGAATACTATAAATCACCAAATTTTCATGACATTATAGGTTTTTGTTTTTTTTGAGCGAGACAAAATTTTCCCGAATTCTGGTTACTGTTTACATAATCTTTGCTCATAAAAATATACGTGAGAATGAAATATTCATAAGGAGACTGTCTTGCGTATTTAGGTGAAAATTTAGTTCTCACAAAGAATAATAAGTGATTTATAGTAAACAGTAACTCTGCATAGGAGATTACTTGCACACGTACATTTTTTTCTTCAGAAAATCAGGAAATGAGAGTTGTCTCCCTTGGTACAGGGACAAAGTGTATTGGGAAGAGTAAATTAAGCCCCAATGGTAAGTTTCAAAAGTTAAGCTTCAATGATAAGTTATAAGAGTTAAGCTTAAGTGGTAAGTTTAAAACAAAAGTTAAGCCCTAGTAAGTTAAAAAAAATTAAAGCCTCAATAAGTTACAAAAGTTAAGCTCCAATGGGAAGTTAAAAAATTAAACCTCAATGATTAAACTTATGAAAGTTAAGCCCAAATAGAAAGTTTATAGAAAAGTTAAGCCCAAATGGTAAGTTTAAAAAGTTAAGCCTCAATGATAAGTTGTAAAAGTTAAGCCCCAATTGGCAAGTTTTACAAAAAAAAAAGTTAAGCTCCCATGTTAATTATGAAAAGTTAAGCTTCAATTGTTAGTTAGATATGCATGGTAATAAAGCTGTTGAATCAAGCTGAGGTGATATGTATATTTAAGAAATGAATTTAATTTTTGAAGATTCATGAGGACAGGAATTACGACGCTTCACACCGGCATATTTCATGAAGCACGTTAGCCCTTCATGATAAATATGCCAGCGTGAAGCTTCGTAGTTCATGTACCTCATGAATTTTCAAAAATTAAATTCATTTCTTATATTTACATTATTTTCTGATGAGTTACCACAAATTACGCCATTCAACAGTCATTTTTAAAGCAAAACAGTTTGCACTATAGTTTTGACGTCAAGTATGGTATTATGACGTAACAATGGAGATATTCATCCTCATCCATAGTAGTTCATGAGAAAATGAGAAAATGAACTGTCTTCTAATTTGCAAAGAATCTTAAGGAAAAATATTTGGAAATGTAAATATAAAAGCATATCAAAACTTAAAAATTCTGTATAGGCAGCTCTGAACTTATTTCGTTGTATTTTTTTCTCTCTCCATCAATTCTTTTTTTTTTTTTACCAAGATGTATTCTGTGTGAATTTTTGTCGGACCAATAATTCTTATTTGACACATGACCAAACTTAAATAATGATATAAAAGTGTTGTTTGACCTCACTATTGAATGAATGATGTTCAGTTTAACATGTACCAGAAATTCTGTAATAAAATTTAGTTAGTTTGAATTTTTAAACTAGAATTTTAAGTTAATGTCATAACACTCTTTTTCTAGGTGATACAGTAAACGACAGCCATGGAGAAATTTTAGCAAGGAGAGCCTTTCTAAGGTATCATTTTGAATGTGTAGTTTGAAGCAAATGATATTTTCAGAAGTATGATAGAAAAAAAAATCAGGAAAACCTCTCTCTTCCAGATATTTATATGCTGAATTGACGGAAGCCTATAGTGGTAGAAAGAGTGAGATTTTTACTGCCCCAGACATGATGTCCAACAAGTGTGAACTTAAACCAGATGTGCATTTCCATCTCTTCTCCAGTCACACCCCATGTAAATATTTTTTTAAGTAAAACACAACTTACTAAGGCTTGACATGTCTATTTTTGAGGTTTTCTGAAAATTTTAATTGACTTATCATTTCTCACAGTGTTGAAAGTTAACAATGGCAGCTCGTTTTTACAGGAGCACTGAAAATTATACACTGAACATGTATACATGTATCTGATAGATCACAATGCTTTTTAGCTCACCTCAGCAAAGTTGAGCATATGCTATACCCCCTGATTTGGCATCATCTTCCTGATTAGTTGTAGAAGCAGGTCTTAGTCCCTAGTAAATATAAGCACTTTCTGGACCAATCTTGCATGGATTATGCACAATGGGATGTACACTACCAGACTTGCTTCAGATGCAGGATCTCAACCTATATTTCCCTGATGAGAGACCTGGTTAAAGTTTTTGGAGCAGGTTAAAGTTTTTGGAGCAAGTTAATTTTAGGAGGTACTCATTACCAAGTAATTGTAAGCCCTACCTGGACCAAATTTGCATGAATGATGCATACAAGGATTTGAATGCTGAATCTTACCTACATTTTCCAGATATCAAGTTTATGGAGCAGTTTCATTCTAAAGTAACTGTAAGCCCTACCTGGACCAAACTTGCATAGATGATGCATCTTGGGAACACTAGCACACTTGCTTTGAATGCTGGATCTGACCTACATTTATGAAAGAATGTTTACTCCCAAGTAACTATAAACTTTATAGTGACCAGACTTGCATAGGTGATGCAACAAAGGATGCACATTGCAGATGTGCTTTGGATGCTGGATCTGACTTACATTTTCCTAGTGAATGGAACAGGTTAAATTTTCCAAGCTGGTCCATTCCGAAGTAATTATAAACCATATGGTGACTGAACTAGCATTGTTGATACATGTTACTAGGGATGCATACAACCAGATTTGGAAACTGGATCTGACTTAAATTTATAGGGTGATTAAACAGTAAAAGTTTTTGAAGCAGGTCCATTTTCAAGTATCTACAGATCCTACCTGGACCAAACTTGTAAAGGAGTTGTATCTAGAGATGCACACTACCAGAACATTTGTTTGCTGTGAAACCTTGCATTAAAATACTTATAGATAACATTCATTGAGGTGACCTTTGTAATCTTTAATTACAAATCATATGTTTTTCTTCAAGGCGGTGATGCTTCAATTTTCCCCAAAGATGAATTGTCTAGGAGAGAAGAAGTTGACTGGGATTCCTTTTGTTGGCAGTATGGTAGGAAGAGGAAACTAGATACAGAGAGTGACACCATGTCCAAATGTCCTAAACTAGACAATTCAGATAGCAGTTCACTGTGTGAAAGCAGTATGTCAGCAGCCGGGGACATTAAAGCGAGTCCTTTAGATAAAGTCAGAGATATGGATCAGAGAAATTCAAATAACAAAGATGAGAAAAAAATTCAGTCCAAAAGTTCTGATTGTGCATTTATAAGTAACATGTCTTTAGAGCATTCTGTGAAAGGAAACCAGAGTGAGGAACCTCAATCATCCAAGCATCCTGTCCAATCAGAGAGCCTAAAACAGAACGACCAGTATTCTGAGCATTTTATTGGATCAGAATCTCCAAAACATAATGTGCAATCTCAGTGTAAAGACAATTTTGAGTGTAATGAAAAATTTCAGGACAATCAGAGCAGCTCAAAGGGAAATAACCAAATCCAAAATAGACTGCCGGATATTTTTAGGACAGGAGCAAAGCCTGTTGCTGGGGGAGGGGAGGATCCACTCGGGGAGGGTTCAGAATACCACTCGGTTGGTCTTTTTAGAATTAAGCCTGGCAGGGGGGAGAGGACTCTGTCCATGAGCTGCAGTGACAAAATAGCGAGGTGGAATGTCCTGGGATGTCAAGGGGCATTACTCTGTCATTTTCTTCAAAAGCCAGTGTATTTTTCTTCTATTATAATTGGAAGGTAGAGAATCACATCATTTTTTGCAAGAATAGAGGATTGTATCAACAAGTCATTATAGATTTATCTGCAAATATTTACATTTCCAATATCTTTGTCTGAGACAAAATTAAAAATTGTAAAAATACTTTATTTCTACATAAATCTACTGGTTCATCGATAGGCGCGGTTAAAAAAAAAATCACGTGCGGTGCGGGGCGGGACAAATAGAGACAGAAGCGGGGCTATTAGCACGGGAATTTGCAGAATCAGGAGCATGTAAATATAAGGAATAACTGTCAAATTTTTTGGATTCATGACGATGATCAATCGATTGGCTTGCGTGATAATTTTATGCATAAACGCCTTCGGCGTTTATGCAAATTATCACGCAAGCCACTCGATTGATCACATCATGAATCCAAAAAATAAGACAGTTATTCCTTAAATATCCAATGACTTGGAACTGAAAATGAAAAGTTCATGATTTTTTGACAGATGTCCATTCAACCAAAAAGCAATAACGAGGGCAGTAATAGAAAGATCAGAGGGTATTAAAGACCTACCAGAAGATTTTCTTGTCACAAAACCAGCCATTCTACAGTCAAACAAGGTGTTTATTGATGGGAAGGCCTGTGTAGAGAAACAGTCTAAAGGAAAAGTTGTTCCCTCTTCAGCAGGTCTGGATTTTAAAAAAGATGCTGCACCAATGTTACATTTTTTTTAAAAATAAACTTAAGTAAACCTTTATTGCCCAGTATTTTAAAAATGTATTTAAGTAAAAAGATGGAGGACATAACCTGGATCAATGTGTTTGTATTAAGATGATATTTTTCCCCCTTGAGATGCCTTTGTTACTTGTAGCTATTATATGGTGCGATTCCATGGAAACACCTGAAGTTATTAATGAAGGCAAACCACAAGGCCTTACAAAAAAGGACTGTCTTAAAGATCCAGTGAAAGCAAGGTATAAAATCTAGCAGTTTTATCTGTTGGTCTAAGAATGTACTGTACTGTATACTTCATATGCCTTAAGTAGGTTATACATATTGGATCCAGTAATGTTGACTAAAGCATAATTGTATGTTCACCAAATTCTCATCACATTAACTTTTATGAATGTATCCAAGTTTAGCTCTTTGAGGGCAGACAGGGGTACATGTAGTGCTTTGTTAACAAGGAATGTTTGTAAACATACATGTAATAAATCTGTCACAAGATTTTCCAAGCTCATTTTACAAAGTTAAGGACAAGGAAAAGTACGAGATAATTTCTGTGCTACAACTTTTCGAGATTACTTCAAATTTTTTATTGGCAAACAGGAAAGTAAAAAATTTTGTTGGGCCCCAAATCAGAGGCAGCAGTTCAGATGCTTTTATATCATATATAGGAAGCATTACTCATGATGCTCAGGTTATTATTAATTATAAGGCCCTTTGATGATACAAGGAATGCTGCATTGTATCTATGATGTTCCATTAAGTTTGAGTCTTAGCTTATAGTGAAAATTAATTCTTTCTTACAATTCATGGTTTCAGGAGCAAGATATGCAGCAGGGAGTTGTTCAATTGCTTTGTCAGACTTTTGAAGTCTGTTCAAATAGAGAATCTTCCTCACATTAAAAATAGGTAACCTCTTTTCTTTTCTGCTGTATTTAAAGCCATTAACCACTAACCATCAAGATTTTAACGTAAAGGCTCTTTCTAAAAGATACCAGAAACAAACTTATGGTCAGTAAGCAGGATTTGCATTTACTGTGGAATCATTTTAATTTATGGGGTTTAGTTTTTGTGGAACATTGAAAATTTACAGGACTGTTTTAAAGGATGTACCAGTAATTTTGTGGTTAAACATACATACACAGAGCTTGTACTGGTAATTCAATATTCATTGTGATTATAAATTTATGAGTAAGTGGTGCCAACAAAAATTGAACCCCATGATAAGAAATGATCCCATAGTAGACTATATGCAGCTGTTATTAGCTCACCTGAGCCAAAGGCTCAAGTGAGCTTTTCTGATCAAAATTTGTCCGTTGTCCGTCGTCGTTGGCGTTGTTGTTGTAAACTTTTCACAATTTCATCTTCTTCTCCAGAACTACTTGGCCAATTTCAACTTAACTTGACACAGAGTATCCTTGGGTGAAGGGGATTCAAGTCTCTTCAAATGAAGGGCTTTGCCTTCTTCCAAGGGGAGATAATTATGAATTCATGAAAAATTAATGGCATCATTTAAAAATCTTCTTCTCAAGAACCACTGTGCTTGAAAATATGAAACTTATGTGGAATCATTGTGAGGTAGTGTAGATTCAAGTTTGTTCACTTAATGAACCCCAGGGGTATGGTTGGGCCGCAATGGGTGATCAATGTTTTATATAAGAATACTTAAGAAAAATCTTTAAAAATCTTCTTCTTAAGAACAGCAAAGCCATTATTGGTCATATTTATATGCAAGCATCCTCAGGTAGTGTAGATTTAAGTTTGTTCAAATCATGACCCCCGTGGTAGGGTGGGACCAAAATGGGTGATCAATGTTTTACATAGGAATACATAGGAAAAATTAGCAACAGCCATTTTGTGTCATATTTATTCAAAAGCATCCTTAGTAAGTGGAGATTCAAGTAAGTTCAAATCATAACCCCCCTTCCCTTTTATATTTAAACTTTTCAAGACTGAACCGATTCCTGCTTTTTCCTAGCCAAAGTGCTCAGGTGAGCGATGTGGCCCCTTGGCCTCTCGTACATCAAAACCCACTATATCAGTGAGATGCCCAGGTTGCATAATGAAGAACTTATGCGCAGAAATCAACTTTTTTTTCCAGTACTAGAACACCACATGCCAATTATTTAGACTGGAAGATGGCCTCGGAAAATTATCAAAGAACCTGGCAGAAACTCAAAGCATGCTACAATTCCTGGAGCCAGAAACCAGAGGAACTTTTGAAATTCTACTCTGATGTTAGTTAGCAGTATCTGAAAATCTGTGAGGTGATAAAATTTAAATGACAATGGGGAAACTTTTGGCAATCCTGGATCCACTGCATTATCTTAACTTGTTCTACTAAACAGTTCCTCCTTCCCTCTGATTGGACCTTATATGTGCATTAAACAAGGACTGCCTTCATACTTTTGTCCAAGTCTTGAGCAAGGTCCACTGATTACAAGTTAAAGTCCCTCACAATGTTTTATTTACCCTTGATAATTTGTAATGATTAAAGAAAACAAGATCTACTTCACCCTACTTTTATTGAAAAATGTGTCTACATAAAATATGGCAGGATTTGTCTGTGATGTTGAATAAAAAAAGATGTGTACATGTTTATCAAACTGAGACACTCCTAATATGTGGCGTCCTGGTGAAAGGGTCAAATGAAAGGTCAGATTACAAAATGGCTGACTAGTTTTTCTGGCAACACAGATGAGATTTTGACAGATGATGACAATTATTGCCCACTGCCCCTAACAACAAAGGACTAAAGAAATTTCACAACTAAATACTAACTCTTACATTGAACAAACTCTAACCAAGCTTATTACTTCTAAATTATTGCAAAAATCAATGAAAGCACCATAACATGTCTGTTATTACAAACAGAATGTTAGATTTCTGTTGAATAATACTGCATCAATAAATTTTTACTACATTCAGAGCTATAGAATAACAACACATCACACCTGCCCTTGTACACACGATCAACAACGTAACAAAAATAGCATAAAATCTGAAATAAATAAAAATTTGTTCATTTTATACATTCATTTTCTTTTACTTTCTACAAGTAAATTGATATAAAATCTGCACCATGGTGAACTTTTACCTCTCTTATGATAAAAAGCATTTCAAAAATTGATCAAAGCATAAAATACATGTATCACATTCAGTGAATCTTAAAATCTGAACTTAGAACAAAAATCTCTGAGATTCAATAACAAGAAGCTGAGTACAGTTAAAGAATTAACAAACGCATCACAGAATATAAAGAGTCATTTGGAGAGTAGATAACCTTGTAGGATTCCTGCAACTAAATAAAAATTTATCACAGACATTCATTCACCATGTTAAACCACATTACATCAAACCACATCACCTAACCTAAAAATTGGTCAACACTGGGTGATGAGTATGTTCATTTTGAAAAAAAATTAAACCACAACTTCAAAAAAAAAAACTTTACAGTCCAAACAGTATAAAATTACCCTTGTTCTTCAAAACTCCAGTTCGTTTTCTTTTTATGTCAATCTAAAAGGGGGTACTGAAATAACCATATAGTAAATAATTTTTTATGATTACATATTTAAATACATGTATATTAAACATAATTTTGAAAATGTTTAGTAAAACTTCATAGGAAAATGTGTATTTAACAGTAGAGTAACCGCCTTTTACCCTGTGTCTGTAAAAATTAAATGAAGACAAATAACTTGTAATGAAATAAATAATCTCTTTTCATGGATTACTTAACATTGTGAGTCAAATTATGGATGGAAGATGCAGGTTTGAATAAAATGAGGGACTTCTGAGATGAAAGTTGAATTGAAAGACTTGAATGAACGGGACAACTCCTTCTATAGAGACAGTTTGATGTTGACTAAACCTTCACACAGTATAAATAACCAAACAGCAATCAAATATAGGAAATACACATGGGTAATAAATATAAATACACTGAACATTAGTAGTGTGGTCAATACATGGATAGTCTAATATACATCAAAAATTTTAGTTCACTAGGGATACGTTTGACATCTATTACTTGAAACTATACAGGGCCAAAAGTTGATAATTTATACAAAGTTATTATATATTGACTTTTCTTAAAGAGTGGTCTTTAATCAATGTAGTTTCCAAGCACTGGCTGTTTTATCCAGAGTTATGTACCCTTTGACGTCCATTACACTGCATCCGAGAAGGAGTTCACCATATCTATCTCATCAGAATTCAGTCCACTTTTCAGAGTACGTCGCACTACAATTAGAAACTCGGTGTCATTCATATCTACTGTATAAAACTTATAAACATGAACATATTTACATTGAAGACAGTTAACAACACATATACTAAAATTCTTCAATGCATTTAAGAGATGAATTTTCTAAAATAAAGTTTTCCCATGCTTTCAATCTAATGAACACTCAATTGTACATTAATAAACTGACATATCATTTTCACATCTGTTTATATACATTTATATGCAATGGGTAGAGTGAAGACAGGCATAATAAATGCTTGTTATGAAACACATTGTGAATGTTAATTGTACGTCTTTAATACTGGTATTCATTGCTGCCTTATTTTTAGCAGTGCCACTCAACAATTAAATAAGAAAATCTATAAACAGAAAACAACACAATTTTTCATAGCTAAAACAGTCCAATTTACTTTACATGGCCATAAATATACTTTACATAATGAAACTAATACAAGTATTAGATTTAAAAAATATTTCAGACAAAATGCAAAACTAACAACTAGCAACCCAAATTCAGTTCTCATACCATTCCTCATGCCGTTTTTGTCGATCATTTAAATACATGCTGTCTCTTTGGAGCTTTTTAGGAATTTTTTAAAACAATTTTAAATGGGTATAGTTTTTGACCAAGTATTTGGTCAGTCAAAATGTATACTGAATTTCTTTCATTGCTCAACGTTACTGTACGTAGCTTTTTAAATTTTGTGCAACTTCAGGTTATGTGATCAGAATCTAGAAATAGTGAAATATTAAATGCGTATATAAGGTTTTTTGTTTAGCTAAAATAAACTCTAGGAGATTTTAATATCACACATCCAAACTTTAGGTCACTACATAGGAAAATATCTACCAGTTTCTGCATCCCAAACATCATTCCACCCTGAAAATTGGTTTGTTACGATGTCTTACAATGAACCGATTTAATTTATTTCAATTGCTTCACATAGAATTTCTTTTTACCAAACAACAAGCACCATCACCTTGTGATTTTAAGGTTTATCTTACCAGTCTCTGAATTCAGATATATAGGACTTCCTACAGAAACAGAGACATCTACTAATTATTTAGATCATTTAAGGGTCACATGTTAGAGTTGGGAGAATTCAAGAGACATTTTATAAATAAACTTGGTTCTAACAAAAAATCAACGAATGTTTTAATGCTTTCAGATAGATAATCCTTACTATTTCATCTTTGCCAGAATAGTTCTAATTTCTCTACAGTTTCTGCATATTTTTACAAATGAAACTACAGTGACTAGAAAGTAATTCATTACTTAAACTAATACACTACAAAACAAAAATAATCAAACCAGCTCACTGAAAGCATCAATACATTTGAAATAACGGAACACAGAAACTTGTTTAAACTGAGCACGAGCAAACAGCTGGCTGTGACAATGAGATTACCTAAATGTGTTCAGTGTCACTATCCCAAACTGAAAACAAAGCCAATGACAGTATATAAACATTACTAATGGACGATATCAGGTGATGATAACCAAGTCTTTACCTAATGGACATGACAACATGAGAGATGTATTAAATACAATTTGAACTTTTTTTTTGTTTTGACTCAGATGAAAAGTTGATCAAATGAACATGATACAGATTAGTAGATTCTGTAGACAAACTGTGGTTCCTCTATCTAGTATTCATTTTCTACTTCTCTTCTCAACAACATGCAGTGTATCCATTTATCCTTCAATCTTGTTAAATGCAAAAGGTGCAGCTTAAAGTTAGCATACATAAATATTAAAAGGCTTTTCTTGGATACTTTAAAAAATAAGAAATTAATCATCTTGTTATAATAACCATATAGCTTGGTCTACAGGACTGTATTTACATATCTAAATGCATTTAAATTCATATGATCTATGTTTTTTTCAATTTTCTTAAGTTGTATCAGATATTTTAGATAGAATGTTTTTGAAAAAATCTTAGTTGCAATAAAATTTCATGCATGTGAGCAAAGCTCAAATCTTGTATATTGGCTTGTTGAGAAAGCAGACCACCTCATCAACTGAACCTATTCAGGCACATGAGAAAGCAGATTCATAATAAAATGGTCTAGGAACATGATAAAGCAATAATATAAAATATTTCTTGCTGGGATTCCTGAAGGATATCACTAAGTTCAAGGTATTTATGGGCTTTTTTTTTTTAAATTTGCTAATAAAATCTTGGCACCACCAGTTGTAGAAGTTTATTTTCTCAAAATTCTGAAAAAGCAGTATTTCTCTCTTATTAGAAAGCGCTTAAATTGTTATGTTGTACAGGTTAGAGTTTCTGCTCCTGATTACGGTATGCATAAATGATATAAAGGGATTTTACTTATTGATCCTCCTCCTTTGATATGCGAGTTCGGTAGATATTGCTGTTGACAATTTCAGACAGCAAATCACTCCATTCGGCTGTGTTAAACAAGATTTAATTGGAGGTAAAGATGTCATTTATCAGAAAGGCTGCATAGCCATCATGGTTAATGAAACTGTTATCATATTGAAAATAACACAGCTTTTCTGAAAGGAAACTAACAGGCAAAAAAAAGGTTGTTTTTTCATTCAGACTCTCAAGTCAATCATAATTCAATAATGCAATAAAACAAATAAAATCATTTGGAAAATTTTAAGTCCTTCTTCATCGTCCATGAACTTTGCATAAATTGAATGTTCCAAAATATACATTGATTCCTATTGTATGTGCATTAATGCATACATAATTTTTAAAATCTTTTGAGCGCAATTCCATGGAGATGAAGAGTACTTCTCTGAACACTGCACTCGAAGCCTGTCTGACCTCATAACTTAAGTCAGGGGCACCGAAGGGGCAATCTTTACCTGAGCAGGACACTTAATACATTTCTAAAAGTCTGGGGTCTAAAACTGGAACGGCTGGAATTACAGAGGCAATATTCATGACGATATTCAAAACCTATCTGATTTTCTACTGATTGACATACCTTCAGGTACTCATTTGTAAATATAAAGTGTGGCTTTCATACCATTGGATGTAAGAATATTTCAGTCATTTATTCTACAATTATTCAAATTAATCAATGAATTTAAGAACCAATGATGGACACAATGATACATACAAGATTTTCGATGTCTGCTTGCTCGTTTTCTCTCCCTGGGGGCTCTACTTGATGCTGCAGTTGCTGTTCTCACACACGCCTCTAAAATCTCGTCATCTCCAGTGTCATACATCTCCGAGTCTGTGGTAACACACCCTCGAGATGATGAAAACTTGGAATCAACTG